AATAACATTAAATGGTTAACGATGTGTGTGTGGTTATCTATTAGTCTTGAAAGACATTAAATAACATTAAATGGTTAACGATCTGTGTGTGGTTATCTATTAGTCTTGAAAGACATTAAATAACATTAAATGGTTAACGATGTGTGTGTGGTTATTAGTCTTGAAAGACATTAAATAACATTAATGGTTGATGTGGTGTGGTTATTAGTCTTGAAAGACATTAAATAACATTAAATGGTTAACGATGGTTATTAGTCTTGAAAGACGAACGATGTGTGTGTGGACCAAATAACATTAAATGGTTAACTTATTAGTCTTGAAAGACATTAAATAACATTAAATAAATGTGTGTGTGGTTATTTATTAGTCTTGAAAGACATCAAATAACATTAAATGGTTAACGATATGTGTGTGGTTATTTATTAGTTTTGAAAGATTGAAATGGATGTCTGAACAAGTCCTTCTCTCGTTGCAGGCTCTCTTCGCCGGCCCAGACGAGCGAGGTCTAGCGGAGCCTGAGGCCAGGAAGATGTCTGCCCACAGAAGGGTGGAGGCGACAGTTCTGGCTTGGGCTTGGATATCCTGGATGGCCTCCATCGCGCTCTTCATGGGTCAGATCAGGTCGGAGGTCGCGGCCACCGGGGTGCAGCTGGACGGCGACCTCATCCTGGGAGGCTTGTTCCCCGTGCACGAGAAGGGGGACAAGACGCCGTGCTCGTCCGCCGTGTACGACCGCGGGCTGCAGCGCCTGGAGGCCATGCTGTACGCGGTCGACCTGATCAACAAGGACCCCGTCCTCCTGCCCAACATCACGCTGGGCGTCCACATCCTCGACACCTGCTCTAGGGACACCTACGCCCTCAACCAGTCGCTGGAATTCATCCGCGTGTCGCTGGACGCGCTGGACACCTCCGGGCTCGAGTGCTCGGACGGGAAGGAGCCGCGGGTCAAGTACCGAGCCAAGCCCGTGCGCGGCGTCGTCGGCGGCTCCTACTCGTCCGTGAGCCTCCAGGTGGCCAACCTGTTCCGCCTGTTCCACATCCCGCAGGTGAGCCCCGCCTCCACCGCCCGGGCGCTCTCCGACAAGGACCGCTACGAGTTCTTCGCGCGCACGGTCCCGCCGGACACCTTCCAGGCCATGGCCATGATGGACGTGATGCAGCTCTTCAACTGGTCCTACATCTCCACCATCTACTCCGAGGGCTCCTACGGCGAGTTCGGCATCGAGGTCATCCACAACCTGGCCGGCGCGAGGAACATCTGCATCGCCGTCTCCGAGAAGATCCCGCACAACGCCGACCACCGCCTCTACGAGGACATCGTGATGAGCCTCCTGAAGAAACCCACGGCGAGGGCGGTGGTCCTCTTCACGCGCGCCGAGGATGCAAGGTAAGGGACACGCCCGCGTTTTCAGACGGAAGCAAGGGCGGCACGGCTGCTCTGGGGGCAAGGGAACCAGGATGATAAGTTAAAGATATACAGTAACTGTGTGAGTGAGAGAGAGAGAGAGAAAGAGAGAGAGAGAGAGAGAGAGAGAAAGAGAGAAAGAAGAGAGAGAAGAAAGAAAAGAAGTGAGAGAGTGTGATTAGTGAGAGGGAGAGAGAGAGAGAAGAGAGAGAGAACGAAAGGAAAGAGAGAGAGAAACGAAGAGAGAGAGAGAGAGAGAGAAGAGAGAGAGAGAGAGAGAGTGAGAGAGAGAGAGAGAGAGAGAGAGAGAGAGAGAGAGAGAGAGAGAGAGAGAGAGAGAGAGAGAGAGGAACAGAGCTTTAACAAGACCAGACGAAGAACCAAAAAGGACCCAGAAGAAGAACGATCGTAGGCCTTGAACCGGAAAAAAAACTGATATGGTGAACACTTTTTCCGACAAGAACAAACACTCTGAGGAAACGTTATCAACGCAAATGAACAGAATACACAGTGATACAGCCTTCCTGCCGAGATATATCCACATCGTGTTTGCAGTGAAAATATTTTGATATTCTTTGGAAAAAGTTTTACCTTACAGGAGCCAAAGTTTCATGGTATCCTGTCGTGGTACTTTCGTTATAAGTTTTGATGATTTTTTTTTTTTATCACATAATTTTGAGAATATCCTAGTTTGTTGCTTTATTATTTGTGTATATTTAGATATATGTTTATGTGCGAATATGTGTGTCTTTTAACGCACACACGTATATACATGTGAAGAAACAAACTGGTAAACAATTTCTCCCAGAATCACATTCGAACATTTATTTATTTCCACTCACCCCTTCCTCTTCTTTCCCTTTCTCTTCCTCCCCCTTCCTCTCTCCAATACGTCCCCTCCCTCCTCCATCACGCCTCCCCTCCACCACACACTCCTAATCCACACGCCTCCCTCCCCCCTCCAACATGCCCCTTCCAACACGCCCCCCCTCCAACACGCCTCCCTCCCCCCTCCAACACCCCTCTCCAACATGCCCCCCCTCCAAACCGCCCTCCCCCTCCCCCTCCAACATGCCCTCTCCAACATGCCCCC